GGAGAACCCGGAGAGAACCCACGCTGCACGGGGAGAACATGGAGACTCCACGGGGACGCGAACCGGCGACCTTCTGGCTAACCACCGAGCCACCTTGCAGCCCTTAAGCGAACACGAACCTTTAACTTTCTGAATGAGATAAATCAAAGTGCAACGTCTCAAAATGAGTCTTTTTAGTATAAAATTTTTGAAGACAAAGGAAAACTGTATGTTAAGGGCTTTAAAGGGTTGTACCTTAAACACTTAATTAAACTAATTAGCCTCATATAATTCAGATAAATATAGAGGAGATTGTTTTTATTGTTTTCACTTAATCATCATGTTCTTTCTTTTAAAGGCCAGTGTGAACAGAAGGACTGATGCTGTGACGACCCAGTGTCAGAGGCCTAGAATTCCAGTTACCTGTGGGTCCCTGAAGGCATCAGGACGGCCCATAAATCTCAGCCATCCCTTTCTCTCTCTCTCTCTCTCTCATTCATTCTGACCCGGCTTCTTTGGTGCTGACCCGTCTTTCTCTGTTACCTTACATCCCATCCTGTTCACTCATCACACCTGCCGATAGTCACATGTCATACTTATTATTACTTGTTAAATGGTTTGCTTTTGGTTATAATAAACATCCTTATTTGGAGTTAAATCTTTGCCATATTTTTTATAACCCACAAGCCAGCTTATGACAATACAGAAACCGCAGCCTGTTATAAAGTCCACATGTTCGTCTGACTGTTGTTTTTAACCTTCTAATCCAACATGCTCAAATCCTTCAGCGTTTTAAATGCTAAACATACAGAGCGGTATTTTTCCCACGATGGTGACGACAGTGTTAGTCAGAAGACTTTTCTATAATTTCTCATGTACAAGCACCAATTAGCTGTTACTAAACTGTAAATGTGAGAAATATTTTCAACTTGGAGGCATTTTTAGACTCATATGTGCCTTCAGTTTGCTGCATGTGGCTTCCAGGCAGCTAGAAGTCGAGTGAAAAGTCATTTATCAGCACCAGAGCCAGCAGCCGACTTCTATTACCTTCAACTTTCATTCAGCTTTCATCCCCGTTTTACACATTTTACCAATAAAATAACTCGTGAAGTCAATCGGAAAAGTCTCGGTATGAACTTTTAAGTTGAATAAGCCTTGGTCGGAACCTGCTTCGCCCTGCGGTGGAACCCCAGGGTGCTGAGGAGCTTTATCACATAAGCGCTCTGTGAGCCCACATCGATTTCCTCATCCAGACTCAGGTCCAGACAAAACAACCGTCTACCTGCCTGAGGAAATCTCAACACAATCCCTTGGAATGAAACAGTCTAAACTCACCGACAGACACACATTTTTTGTAAGAGCTCAGGTGATCCATGCCATCTCCATGTAGAAAGTGGGCGTACACTGCCCTCTAGTGGCCGGACTGCACATTACCTGGCGTTGGCGATGCTGTGCAGGAGTCTGAGGGTTTGTTCTGAGAGGTCCGAGGGCACCAGGATCTCCACAGGGTTGATCTTCAGGACCCGACCCTCCAGCTCAGAGCGAGAAGAGCCGTCAGGGAAACAGTCCAGTAAGACGTCTCCTGTGCTGGGCTGGACGGCCTGCGCACAAAGAAAACATAAGCATACACTGTGGTGCCATTTCTTATTCGTTCTTGTGGCGTTTGACCCTTTGGAATAATTTCTAGACGACACATTCTTGAAAAATTATTCTTTCTCATTTGTGGTTGTTAAAGTTCACGTTAAATCTGTGTAATTCTGTGATATTCTTAAACATATATATCATGATACACAACATTTTCAAGAAACTAAATTAAAGAAATTAACTCTTTATGGACAAAATAACCAGATGACGACATCTGTTTTTTGGTTAATCCAGCAGACTAAATAATCAAGAGAAGACCTCACAGTAATCTAAAAGGTGACTTAATTTGGTATGAAAAGAATCAAAATACTGAAATATGACCACTGACAAACCTTTACCAACTCATAGTATGTATATCACTACATTCATTCAGCTCTTCTCCAGAGTTACAGATAATCGTGAACTAAACTGATAAATAACAATGAATTGTTGTAAATAATCTCCACAAGTAGGCATTAAAACATCACAGCATCTTAGTGTGTCAAACAACAAGCTGAGAGGTTTCAGAAAGTCTATAAATACAGTCGTGACTTGATAATCCGACACTAAATGTAAAACCTTCTTTTATGTCGGATATCAAGGCTGTCGGATTGTCAAGACAGAGTTCCAGATACAAGGAGGGCTTGATGCTGGAAGGATCATTAGTTGTTAATATTCATTGTTTATAGTTGTTATAATAACTCGTAGGGCTGGTCCCAATAGCACTTCCTGGTCTCTGGATATTCAGGCCCAATTAATGATGAATATTCAGCTCGGTCGGGGGACACTTCCACCCCGGGGCAGCGCTCTGACGGGGTGGAAGTGTCCAGAACACACAGGCAGTACTTGGCTGCTGATGCTAGTTTAGTTAGCGCTCACACTTCTGTTTCCACCATCAGTGGCGGTGGGGGAGTGGCGGATACGCTCCACCGTTACCATCCATGTTTACTTCCGTAAACACTGAGCACGCTCGCTGCGTGTGACGTCGTCGTGTCCTCTTCTGTGCATGCGGGACACTTTTGGGTCGTATGAAGTTCACACAGCAGATCACATACAAGTCGCATTGAACTGGAAACGTGAAGGAAGTCACAAAGAAATCCTCATTGAGCATCAAGTCCTGCAGTGTGAACGTAGCCAATCTGTGGGATTGTTCAGTCAGATAATACGCCGTCATCCTGATTGGTGACATTAAATGTCATGTCGGAGTCAGAATCCAAGACTGTCGCTATGTTAAGGCTGTTTTTATGGGTTCTGTTGGTTTTTCCTAAAAACCTGTTGGATAGCAGGTTTAGGATTGTTAAGGGTCAGATTATCGAGTCACGACTGTATTGATCTGATGAAGACAAAGGAAGTGAATAGCAAGCATCCTGTTTTCTGGAATCCGTGTTTATTTACTCACCACCAGCCCCACAGTGAGCTGCTTCCTCGGTTTGTCCCAGTTCTCACTGATGCACAGCAGGAAGCTGTCAGGAGGGTCCAGCACCACGTCTCCACAGGCCCCCTCCTCCACATCCCCGAGTCTGCAGACGGGGTTTACGTCTCAAAAAAAAAACTGTCAAGGACTCTGCTTTAGACAGACAGACATAGAAAAGGCCATTTACTAAACACACACAGTCTGGCTGTAAGGATACCCTCTCCCACCAGAGTGGACTTGGTGTACAGGGCGCTGAGCTGGCGAGTGAACAGACTGTTCCTATTGGCCCCTGAAGCTTTGATCGCAGACGTCTCCGTCTGCTTGACCACACCAACCTAGAAATGAAAGACAATGAAGCAGAGATAAGACAGAGCGTGGCACTGAGCAGCTTGGACCTGTGAACTGGAACAACAGGGAGATAAATCCGATACCTTGTGGCCGTGAGACACCAGGCGTCTGACGTGAACAAATAGCCGGTGAGTGGGGATGCTGCACGTCATGAAGTTATGATCCAGATGACAGACGATGTTCAGCTCCTTGGCAGCAGTCTGTTCACACACACACACAGATAAGAGCCAGGTTTTCAAAATAAAACAACAACAACACCTCTCCCTTAATTCTTAAATGAGTTGTCTTTGTTTTTAAAATTAGTGCACAAGAATTTAAGATTTGATTAGTGGACACATAAATTGGCAAAAAATAAAATAACAACACCTTTGGCTTTGAGATGCTTTAAAACATAGGAGAAAAAAATTAAATGTTGAAGACTAATCGTGACGCTAAGAATGATCAGCACTCATGATGTCGGGGAGGTTCAACAGATTTAAAAAGCAAAAAACAGCAATAGAATCATCTAAAACAGTGGTATGGGGGAAATTTGAGGGGGTCGCCAGATCACTGTAAAAAAATAAATAAAAATAAAGCCTACATTTATCAAATAAATGTGTATTAAGGCTGTCAAAATTCAAAGTTTATACTTCTTCCCACTCCTTTTTCAAACTTGTTCATATCATGATTTGATTGTGTGATATTATTATTCTTTTTTGCTCTTTCTTAGATTATTTTCTTTTTTTTATATATATTTTTTCCCTTCATGTGTTCGAAATTAATTCAATTCATTCATTCATTTAAAAGAAACCTAACGTATTAATGTAAAGAGATTAATCTGTGGAAGTAACACATAAGCTTTTAACATATTAATGCATGCCATACAAAAAACTCAAACTGGAGGGTCACGAACACAAACTTATCTTATCTTGGGGGTTGTGGCTCAAAAAGTTTGAGACCGACTGATCTAAAACGCTTTGACACGTCCTTCAGGCTGTAACATATTTAACATAGTTTGGATAAAAACACTCGGCGGTTCCCACCTCTGCATCCTCTCCAAAGAACCTGTACTTGTAGCCGCACTCCACAGCCAGCAGGGCGTCCTTGTGCTGCTGCTTCAGCTGGACGACCTGCTGCTCCAGAGGAGTGTAGACACTCTTTGAACGCCTGGAGGCGGCGCTAGACTCTGACGGGGGACTCGGCTCGGCATCCTTTCCTCCTCCTCCTCCTCCTCCTCCTCCTCCTCTTGACTTGGCAAACTGAGACAAGCAGAAGTCCTAAAAAAAGAAAGCACGTATTTATAACCAGCGACAGTTCATTCACACGTCACTTCCTCATTCAAAGCAATATGTTTGAACAGGCGACATCACATCTCCCCTGTTCTGGCTCTCTGTCTGTTTTAGATGTGATTTTAAGATTTTACTGATCACTTTTAAATATTTTAGATATGATAACCCCGTATATCCCCACACGTAGCCTCAGATCCTCTGGTGGGTCCCTCCTGGTCGCTCCAAAGGCGACCGGGCCTTTTCTGTGACGGCCCCTCGGCTTTGGAACGACCTGCCTGAGGAAATAAAGCTCGCAGATTCAGTATCTTCTTTGAAATCACTTCTTAAAACCCACTTTTGTAGACTCGCTTTCGAGTGATGTTCTCTTTTAGGTTTTCTTTTCCCTTTTACATCGGTGCTAGGTCCTCCTGCGCCTGCTCTCTCTGTGGATGTCTCTGGATCTGGAGCTCATGAACTACAGCCGCTGGCCTCACCTTCCGCATCCTGCTGCCCCACCATGATGCCTCCTGTTACCTCGAAATTGAATATTTCATTGGTCCATTTAAAGTGGGGGAACAAAAGGACAATAACCTCTAATAACTTGTTTAACTGTAAACTAGATTGTATAATTCATCCCACATCCACCCAACCGGTGGAGGCAGATGGCCGTCCCTCCCTGAGCCTGGTTCTGTCGGAGGTTTTCGGTTCCTTCCCACTGTTGCGGACTGCTGAAGCTTATAGGGAATCCAGATGTTTTGGATTGTTGGGTGTTTCTGCCTTTGTGAAGCGCTATGAGATGACTTGTTGTTGTAAATAAGCGCTATACAAATAAAGTTGAATTGAACTGAATTACTGCCTGCTGCCTTTCTCTCTTTTCTCTTTCTTAACCTACTTTTATCTTCATTCTCCTCCGTGATGTCGTCTTTTTAATCAGGTGACCCACTCTGTTCTTCTCCATTTTTACTGAGTGTTTGCCTGCACTGTTAAGACATGTCGGTTTCCTGTGTTGCCTTGTCTCTCTGTGCGTTTGTGAATTCTGTTCCTAAAAGGTGCTTCACAAATAAAGTTTATTATTATTATTATTGCAATATAGATCAGGTCTGTGGGTTAACTGCTTAGTTTACTCATGATTTGTCTTGCAGCAAATAAAAAGCATCAGATGGGCGTGTTAGCTTCGTAAAACACTTGATTTTCACATTAAAGTTCACTTATTAACAATATCTCAGATGAATAAAAGAAGATTTTGTCAACAAAACTCAATTTCTGGCTCCCACTGTGGTTCCCAACGACTGAGCCAAGGGCCTCAGAATAGAACAGAAAGTACAGATCGTATTAGAGGAACATGCTGAAGTATCTTCTTTATGTTATCGTATCCACACCTCACTGTGGTTAAGATGGTAAACAAGTACGTTTCCTTTGTGGTGTTAGCGATGGGTTACTTCTTTGTTTCATTTTGTTGGTTAAAACGACAACAGAACCGTCAGTTCTCTTTTATGAATTTGGCCTTTTTGTCTTTATCATGAGTTCCTCGCCTGCTTTTGTTCTGAATCTATTTCTTTGGCTCCTTATGGCTCTTTATTATTAAATCAATCTTTCCTTTGGACTCACTGATTCCTCATGTTACACACTGTTTTATCCTTTTTATTCACATTAACCAGCAATTCATCTTTAAATGCTTTGCTGGGAAAAGGCTTCCTGCATGTACGAGGTGTGTCAGAAAAGCTCCAGGACTGGTGTCACAAAAGATATATTTCAAACTACAAACTAGGAGTTTTCCCCTTCAGACGATCAACAAAGAGATCCTGCAGCGTTTGCTTCGTTCAGATGAGGTGAGAGTTGTGGCAGGACAAGTCGTGGCTGCTTCACCATGACAACCTGCTCACAACTTCCTGAGCATCTGACAGTTCCTGGCTGAGAAGTGCTGGAGCAACCTCCCTGCTCCCCCCACCTGGCTCTGTGGGATTTGTTCCTCTTCCCCAAGCTCAAGGGGGTCATCAAGGGGACCCGTTTAGAAGACGTGGACCACATCAAGATGGCTGTGACGGCTGGGGAAGTGGGTTAGCCTCCAGAGGGAAGGAGAAAACTTATATATCTTATGTGACACCAGTCCTGGGACTTTTCTGACACGCCTCGTATCTTCAAATTCCCTGCAACCATGACTATGGGATCATCATCAGAGGGTCAGAGGTCAGCGTCAGCCTTGCTCATGGACACCTTAACATCAGAATAAACCTTCATCCTGTGACCAACCTGCTGCCCTAAACACACCCAGGAGGCAACCACTTTGAATGCGTACCTGTTTCGTAGCAGCCAGCCCCGAGCTCTCCTGTTCTTCCTCCTCCTCATCCTCACACTCTTCCTCTGCATGCTGCAGTCTGTTTGCGATGCTGTGTGGATCTGGAGCAGCAGACGGAGGCCGAGCGCCGCCTCCTTGGCCTCCGGCTTTACTGCTCGGACCATCAGCGCCGCAGGTGAAGCCTTTTAGCTTCTCCAAGGTGGACGAGCAGAGGCTGCCTCCTCCTCGGCTGGACGGTCGCTTCGTGTCTGAGGAGAGAAGACAGAACTCCACCTCACAGGCTCTGAGAGACCATCATGAGCGTGTCATCGTAACTACACAACCCAACTAACACACTTTACCTTTATCGCTCTGACAGGAGGCAGATTCACACTCCAGGTCCTCCAGCTGCTGGCCTTTGGGAGACAGCTTGGCTCGTTTAGTTGGCAATCCCACATCACCATCAGAGCAAAGCTTCTGCTGCAGGACAGAAGCAGCTGAGGTTCAGTCATGCATCACGTGTGGTGTCTCATGTTGTGTGTTCAGGGCAGCAGAGCCTCACCTTGCCTCCTGCACGCTGCAGGTGATCCGCAGGACTTGGTTTAATCCCACACTGAGTCCTGCTGCTGCTGCTGTGCTGTCCTCCAAAGTACCTGCTGATGGAGGTCTGGGCGCTGCAGGATTTCTTCAACGACTTGGGCATGCTGGACTCGGTGCTGGTCTCGGTGCTGGACTCGGTGCTGGTCTCGGTGCTGGACTCGGTGTCACACTGGGTCCGTCATGTTCAGAAACCTGTGCACACGCAGGTAATGCATGAAAAGGCTTTAGGAGCAGCTCTCCGGCTTTTCAAAACACAGCGGCGCATGTGCTGAGCTCACACCGGCGCGTAAATGACGCGGTAGAACCGCTTTCGGTTACGCCTTTCAAAATAAAAGTACCGATTCTTGTTTTTGCAAAATCAGTCATATTTTTTTAAGCTTTTGCTTGTTTGTTTGTTTGTTTGTGTTGCACTGGAGGAACATTCTTTATATTTTCAGAGATTGCAGTTATCTAGTTGATCTGCTGCAAATAAAAAGGATACCTCCAAAATATGAGTGAGATTATAAAACAAATCTATCGCTTGTTTTTAACTACAGGACCCGACATGATGATATTCCAGTGCAGAGCCTGAACATTTACTCTTCTTTGTCTTGGGATGTCATTTATTTGCGTCACGTTGTCATGCTTTTATTTTGAAACGCTGACACTTTTTTTTCAGGTGTCTTTGCGTTTAAAACCTTTTCAACAAATCCCGTTATTTGGGTCTCCGGTATAGATCTGAGTAGTTTACTTGAATTCATAAACTATATATGTTTTAATGACATATGAAAATTCTAAATGTTTACATAATAAATAAATAAATAAATAAATAAATAAATTCTCAACTGAAGAATGACGCTTATGAACGAACGATTGAGAAAATAACTGAGGAAATGATCACAACTTAAATTGTTGTTGTGAAATGCTGTCATACTTTTTTATTGCATACTCTAGGAGCTTTTTATTTCATGTTGATTTTCTTTTTAATGCCTATTTCCGGTCACTTTCCACACATGTACACTCCAGTCAGTCACAACATGAGAACCACCTGCACCAGCCTGTGCAGGTCGAGGCCTCCGTGGACAGGACCCGTTAAAATTCAATCAGGCTGACATCTGGGGAGTCTGAAGGTCAGGTCAGTGTCTTGGGCTCTTGGTCATGTTCCTCCAGCAAAAAAATATATATATATATTATTTTTTTGTTTGTTTGTTTAAATTACAATAAATATAATAAATTAATAATTACAATAATAAAATAATAGTAATAAATAACAACAAAAACAACAACAATAATTATTATTATTATTATTATTAATAATAATAATAATAATAATAATAATAATAATAATAATAATAAACTACTGCGGTAATATAACCCAGGTCTTAAGAGGTTAATGCTGTGGCTGATCAGTGATAACCAGCCAAATTGACATATGAATAGATCCAGGTATAGTCCTAAAACTTCCTGAGCATTCACCTCGGAGGCCAAGGTGTAACGATGCCACTAACGTGTAGCCTTGTCGAGCTATAAGTGTCCCTGCCGGGTTTATTGACTGCAGCAGTGCTTTTTATCCATTTTGTTCATTATATCTGGTAAACAAGAGCGTANTAATACCAATAAAAATAATAAATAAATAATTACAACACCAATAATAATAATAATAATAATAATAATAATCATAATAATAATAATAATAATTAACTACTGTGGTAATATAACCCAGGTCTTAAGAGGTTAATGTTGTGGCTGATCAGTGATAACCAGCCAAATTGACATATGAATAGATCCAGGTATAGTTCTCAAACTTGTCCCTGCTGGGTTTATTGACTGCAGCAGTGGTTTTTATCCATTTTGTTCATTATATCTGGTAAACAAGAGCGTACAATAGAAAAAAATAAAACATTTTCAGGGGTTCAACACCCCAATTTTTTATTTTATTTTTTTTAAAAGAACCCATTAATAGGGAAGCAGACTTTGGCCCATTGCTGATTCCCACATGATCAGTGGACCATGTGAGGAATCTCTCTGGTTCCTCATGTTGCTTCCTGCTTTGTTCTGTGTCTCATCAGCAGCTTTTAATTGGGTGATTCGGAATCACTGTGTTTATGTAGCTAACAGGAGCTATCTTGTGTCATTGGGAAAAGTGCCAATATAAAATAAAACAGATTTCTAGATAAAGGCCATTTGAAAGTAATAATTATGATGAAATAAATATCAACTTGTGAGAAAAAAAAACAGCATCTCAGTTAATCATTTCTTGTATCTGTGATGTATTATTACAGAGATTTTTTTTCTAATTAAATCAGTTCATATGGTGGTTCATTTATTAATTAGCTCACAGGCTATATAACAGCATTCATTCTTGTGTTCACTTCCCAAAAGTATTAGTCTGCATGGCTGTCTGGGAAATAATGAGGTCACTTTAGGGCCGCTGCTATTCAGGTCACTTGGGAAGGAAGCTTTGTGAAGAAATGCAAATGTTCAAGTTCTCGAGGGAGAAGTTGAGCTGAAAAAGGAAAGCTGGTCGCCAGCTTTCTCTCTCTCTCACAAGGCTGGTCAACAATCCGCGTTCAGGATGAAGTTTTATGGAGCTCTGATCCTGTTTACGACTCTGTCCGCAGGTAGGAATCTGTCATGTCGGGCCTACAGGCTTATTCTGATAACTGTACTTTGAAGAAAAGGGTTGCAGTCATATGTACAGGTTGTTATAAAAGCTGCAAAGGAAGTGGTGTTCGAAAGTTAAAGAAGTAGGGAGACATTTTGCCGGCTTTTTAGGAAACAATAATTCACAAAAAAATGACTTGTTTGTTAAATCCTGCCAACACCACAGTGTGAAAGCAGCAGTTTGTAAAACCATAACACCATAACACCATGGATTTCTTGTTTGCAGCTGAAGCAGAGTTTGTCTATTTGATCTAAATGTGGCTAAAAGCGAGCAGAAAAGCTTATTTCCTCAAAAGGCCATTTTGTCTCTTGTTGGATCTCAGAAGACTTCCTGTTGCATGTCAGTTTTTGTCATGTCTGTATATACCATCAAACTATTATCTTTCAACTCTAAAGCTGTAAAAAGGCGTATAGAGTGTTTTAGTTCATCGTCACATTGTTCTCAATTTCTAGATTTTGTCATGTTCACTTCCTGGAAAGATCTTTTGTAGGTGGGCATCACTGCAAACTTCAAACTTGTTGCAGAACACACACACAACTATGAACCTTGGCCTGCATGCAGCATGTTTTAAACTGTTGTGCTCCGTGTCTTTGTATAGCATGTGGATTAAGATGCTACACATGCACAGCTGCCGACCCCAGATCCTGCATAGACACCAAATCTTGTCCTGTTATCTTCAACCGTTGCTTTTCTCTCAGAGTAGATGGTAAGTTGTTGTTATATTGCCAATACACACATCATAATGTGCGTTACTGAGCGGTTTCCTCGTCACATCTTGCAGGTTATAACATGGTTACGAAGGGCTGCCAATCCAGCATCGCATGTGTCGGTGCTGTGACTTGCTGTGAAGGAGATTTGTGCAACAGCGCCATGCCAACTGGTCCCAGCGTCTTCCTGCTGCTGGTGTCCTCAGCCATCCTCGTGGTCTTTCTCTGAGGCTCAGGAAATTTTCGATGCTGCACTTTTTTTCTGAATTAATTTGTACAAACAAAGGAGAAATAAAGCATCAGGCTGTGAATTAAAAATGTCTCCTGTACTCAATGCAACTCCAGACTGACAGCATGAGTTTTTATTTATGGCAGTTGTTTAGGAAACAGTAATTCACAAAAAAATAACTTGTTTCTTAAATCCTGCAAACACCACAGTGTGAAAGCGGCAGTAAAACCGTAAAACTATAACACCATGGATATCGTGTTTGCAACTGAAGCAGCGTCTATTTGATCTAAATGTGGCTAAAAGCAAGCAGAAAAAAATACAAACCTTATTTCCTCCAACGACCATTTTGTGGTCAGGAGCTGGGGTTTTTTGCACCTCAAAAGACTTCCTGTTGCATGTCAGTTCTGTCATGTCTGTCTGTCTGCAGGCCGTTCCTCCCAATCATGCCCCTCCAGGTTTCAGCGTCATTGCCCACGTGAGCATTGAAGTCCCCTAGGAGAGCTGTGGAGTACCCAGGCAGCTTCCCTTCCAGGACACCACCCAGTGACTCCAAGAAGGCCGGATACTCTGAACTGCTGTTTGGTGCATAAGCACAAACGACAGTCAGAGTTTTCCCCTCTGCAACACACAGTCGCAGAGAGGCAACCCTCTTTTCTCTGGGGAGAACTCCAACATGGTGGCGCTCAGCTGGGGGCTTGTGAGTATCCCCACACCCGCCCGGTGCCTCTCACCGTGGGCAACTCCGGAAAAGAAGAGAGTCCAACCCCTCTCCAGGAGTTTGTGTCCGGAGCCCTTGCTGTGCTTGGAGGTGAGCCCGACTATGTCTAGCCGGTAACGCTCCACCTCCCGCACCAGCTCAGGCTCCTTCCCCGCCAGTGAGGTGACATTCCATGTCCCCAGAGCTAGTCTACGCCACCAGGGGGCGGTACACCAGGATGCCCGCTCCTGCCTACCACCTGATGGGCATAGCAACCCGACCCCGATCCACTGCCCTGAGGGTGGGTGGCCCTCTGGGGCCCAGGGGGGTGCCCCGGTTTCCCTCTTACGGGTGCGGTGGCGGCTCTCCCTTTCCTGCTGTTCATCGAGGTTTTCCTCATTTTCAGCTGTTTAGAAATTACCAAGGGCGATCCACAGGGGTCGGTTTTAGGACCACTCCTCTTTATTATCTACATAAATAACATTACTGATAATGTTTCCAGTGCCAATTTTCGGTTTTATGCAGATGATACTGTGATATACGCCTCAGCATCTACACCAGAATTGGCTCTATCCCAGCTGCAAACTGCTTTTAATATTGTCCAGTCAAATTTCTATGACCTAAAACTTGTTTTAAATTCAAGTAAAACCAAATTCATGTTGTTCTCAAATTCCAAGTAAAGCCACAGAACCTGCCTCCAATCACCTCTTCTCAGGTTGTACAGATTGAAATAGTGTCTCAGTATAGATACGTTGGAATTTTAATTGATGACTGTTTCTTTTTCACACCTCACATTCAGCAGCTGGCAAAGAGACTTAAATTGAAACTGGGTTTTTCCTTTAGAATCAAGTCTTGCCTGTCCTTTGAGGCCAAAAAGAGACTTGTTGGCGCCACTTTTATGTCTGTGTTGGATTGTGGAGATAAGGTATACATGAATGCTTCTGCTCAAAGCCTGAATGTTTTTGATTCACTTTATCACGGCATTTTAAGGTTTCTCACCAATTTTAAGTCTCTTGCTCATCATTGTTTGTTGTACTCTCGTGTTGGATGGTCAGATTTGACCACACGAAGGAAAAAACACTGGCATATTTTAATTTATAAATGTATTTGAGGCTTGCTTCCTCATTATCTAGCTTTTAAATTGGCTGCTCCCTCCACCTGGAACACTTTACAAAAAGACCTGAAACTTCAAGAGCTGGTTTCTTTAAATACTTTTAAAGTGGTTATAAATGACTTGGAGGCAAAAACCATCAGTCTGTAGATGTTTGGACAGGTGATTATTTTGCTAGTTATGTTTCTGATCTCTGCTGATATGTTGATTTCTTATCTTCAGAATGTAATCCCCATGTATTATGAGTAAGATGCTGTTGTGACCTCGTCTGTCTGTCAATTGTGCTGCTGCCTGTCTTGGCCAGGACACTCTTGAAAAAGAGATTTTTAATCTCAATGAGCCTTTTCCTGGTTGAATAAAAGTTAAATAAAATGTTTCTTACCAAAGCTGTACATAAACTGCAGAGGCACTTTCACACTTTGCTGTTAACGTAGGTGGGGTGTGGTTGGGGGAGGAAGAAGAAGTGAAACTCTAACCCAATCAAACATAAGCTGGAGGATATATACTCAAAGCTCTAAACTCGTTTTCCTCACAGAATCTGCTCGACTTTCTCTCCACGATGAAGCTCATGTTTGGAGCTCTGATCCTGGTTCTG